TTAATTATGATAGTGATGTGTCTGCTCATAGCACCTTGTGTTTTTTATTTCAACAATCTAGGATGTGAGCAATCACCAATGATTAACTCCTTGTCCTGGCTAAAACACCTGGTACCAGCTTCTCCATGGGCATCAGCTGTCATCCTGTCAACCCTCCTAAACCCCAACATGATTCCCTATCCAGCAAAAAATGATAAGAGACAGTCTTTGCCCTTTTCCTAACAATACAAAGACAGGAATGAAAGGTTCTTGTCCTAATATAAATTACTGTACAATTATGGCAGTGATCTAACATGGTGGAAGGCCAAAATAAGAACGCTTACCACTTCCTGCTTCTTCTTCAGCTCTAACTGCAATTCTCTTTCCTGTTTGCATGCAAAGAAAATTCCAATCAGTTCCTCACACATCATCAATGTCCGCCTCATGCGCCACTTCAATTAGAAGTTATACAACCTTCTGCCTCTCTGTATCCAGTTGGAGGAGACAGCCCAACTGCCATGGGTTGCATGCTCCTTTCTACATCCCCAATAAACCTGTTCTTTTCTTTTTTTGTACTTTTCGTGTCTCTATTGCACCGGAAAATTCTTAACATAATCCACAAGCCCATAGCTGCACATGTCAACCTCAGACTTTCTCAGTATGTTAAGAGCAAGTGAAACATGGGGAACTCAGGGTAACTATTCCATGATAGAGAGCGCCACTTCCCTAGAGGCCTCTCCCACACTGATTTTGTAGGAGCTAGCCTACAAGCTTTGTCCTTAACTGATGGACGATGGAGATGAATAAAAAGATACACAGAATTAGGTTAAAATATGAGGGCCTAGCAGGTCTTGTCTCTCTTTTGAAAAAGAGTCCCAAGTGAATGACTTACCCTTGCCTTTATTCACTCAGACATGGGTTCAAGTATTAGAGTAACACAGGGTTTATCTGCCTCTTATGGGATATGTCCAGGTAACAGTAGGGTCTCAGCTGTATTAACTTTTCCCTAGAGCCTGCAGCATGCCAGCTCACTTTCGTGCCAACTTTCTCCTTATCACTCACAGAGGTGGCCAGTTTGGCTTCAGTCTTCCTGTCTGGTCTCCCACATCTCCTTGTCTGTTAAACATATAACCAAAAGAAAAGGGAATGGAGTCCATTATATTTGGAAGTAGAGAAACTAAATTTTTTTCCCATCTAAAGGACTATGTCTGTCATAGTTTATGGCAGTGGCCCCCAGGCCTCATACATTTTCATTATGCATTTGTGATTGGTTCATTGTCTAGAGCTTGGATTGATGGTGTCAGTGCTCCGCCCACAAAGGGGTGGAGCCAAGATGTGATGTAATGGCAGGAAGAAGGTGTGTCTCTCTCTCTTGCCAGTTTCTGCCTTGCTGTTTGCAGCCGCCATGAACTGCGGCCCTGCCATGCCACCCTGCCTTGGAGCCAACTGAGTATGGACTGAAACCTCTAAAAAGTATAAGAAATAAACCTTTCCTTTCCCAACTTTGGGCATCAGGTATTTTGTCTCGGTGATGAGTAAAAAGTAACTAAGACAGAATTTCTAAACAATGACTTTTTTTCTTCCCAGAGTTGCGGATTGAACTTAGGGCCTCACATACTAAAAAAAAGTTTCCAAATATTTGGGGAGTCAGTGGATGGGGTAACACCGATCTGTTGCTTTGCTTCAGAGATGACACATCAGCTCCTCAGCCAGCCCAGTTCACACTGCTTAAACCCTATTGAAGGGACAAAGAAATAGCCCAGCTAGCTCTGTACATATCAACACCTGGAGGTAGGGCCAAGTTTATTCACAATGGAGATAGTTGCTCTTCTTCTCAAAGAAAGGCAAGGAAAGTCATCTCTGTGATTCCCAACAATGCATCTTTTTAAACAACTTATCCTGTGTTCACTGCTCCATTATGGGATCAAATATTAATAGAGAGAAGGGAGATTCTGAGATTTAGAGTCAGAAATAGCAGAATTTATATTTAGTTTTGCTGTACATCATGCCTCGTATTACTCACTTACTAATTGTGCATTTCTGTTTTTATTTCTTGAGTTGGAAAAGAAATATTTGCTGTCTCATTGCCATGAGGATTAGACTTTGAGACTTGTATTTGGGCTACCTTAAAAAATAAATGTCTTCTAGGTGTAAAAACTAACCTTATCCTGAAATTTTATTTTGCTTCCTCCTTATCTTTCTTCATTTTTTCCTTTTCTTAAAATCTCCTTTGGATTATCCCTGCTCTTTTTCCATTCCTCTTTCTTTCTCTCTCTCTCTCTGAATTAAACCTCAGGCTTCATATGTACTAGATAAATACTTTACCACTGAGTTATATCACTAGCCCTTTTAATTTTTATTTTGTGACAGTCTTAAGTTGCCCAGTGGGGCTCAAACCTGCAGTCTGCTACCTCAGCCACTCTAGCAGCTGGATTTACAAACATTCCCAGTTTACTTGCTCCTTCTTAGAGCATTTTGTGCGTTTAAGCTTTCAAAATACCACTTTTTCTTTGTTTTCTTCTATCTCGATGGCCCACCACTCTCCTTTACTCCCAGGCCTCACATGTTGTTGTGACGAAGAGCTCAGTCCTCATACCTCTTTTTATTTTTAGTTATTGTCTCAGAGCTCAGAGACAATTTTTTCTGCCTGGAAATCTCCTCTAAGTGTGCAAAGACTTGCTTCTTACCTTCACGTCTGTGTTCAAGATTAGGTTAGACTTTCTTAACCATCTTACTGGTTCTTCTTAGCCTGATTAATTCGCTGCAACACTTATCATTCCCCAACATGCTTAGTATTACTTACAGATATATTCACTGGTCAGCTCTCTCCACAAAATTTAAGCCCTGAGAGGACCAGGTATAACTTAGCTAAACGATGTAATGTTGGGCAGAGAAGTAGCTGATGAAACTTTTAATGAATAAGAAATGAAAATTTACTTATTTCCTAAGCTCAGGGATGTTTCTTATTTATGAATGTCTTTTGGTAGTTGTCTGTTCAGAAAGAAAGGAGGTTTTAAACCTCTTCCCAAAGTGTCAGTTTATAAAGGACTTGTCAAGTTGCCAGCTGTCACATTCATATCACGAAACTTCTGATAGTATTAGAATTCTCAGTCTGAAATTCATGGGTTCCAAGAATAGCCTTCAGGATTCTATTAGTTTTCCTTAATTTCAGGACAAAATGTTATATACATATATCTCTTTCTCTGTGTGTATGTGTGTGTGTGTATGCATCTTCTGTAGGAGAAGTTTGTCCAATGTACAAAGGGATCTGTGGCCCAATGAGAAGGATTTGAAATTTTTATCTTCCATGGATATTGGGCAGCTAAAACCTAACATGTTGAAGACAAAACTCATCACCCTCATCTCCAAATCAGTTTATCTCTTTGTTTTCCCAGAAACAAAGCACCATGGTACGGACAGTCATACACAATGCAGGGTGGCTACATATAAGCAGCCACACTCTCCCCAGGAATTCATAAAGTACAACTCTCATACAAGTCAACATTAGAAACAGACTAGATTGGGCTGAACCAGTAGTTACACATGCTAGGTCTTGTTAGCTCTAGGGGCTTAGAGAAAATGTCAAACTCCTTTCCCACTGGGCAGTTATATAAGCATGTTATGTTCTCCCTTCTCCCTCCCCTCTGTGTCCCCAGCTTTATTGTTCGAGAGATGTCAAAACATGGCACAGGAAGAGGACACAGACAACTATCCTGACACATTTTTTTTGGTACTGGGGACCAAACTCACAACTTTGCACTTAACCAACCAAGTGCTTGAACTGCTGAACTCCCCAGCCCTATTCTGATACTCTCGATATTAAACTGTACACAAACACCTCGTTTCAGTACTGCCCTGTTTGGCGATTGTTCAAGATTGAACTCCGGAAGTCAGACATGATACTTCTGTTCATGCAGCTTAGTACTGAAAGATGAATTGCAGGATGGCCTGGAAAGGGCTAAGGCTGAACACCTGTCAAGTAGTAAGACGGCTGTGGTCATCTGGATTAGAAATAGTGTAGAATCGAATGAAGCTACAGAGTCAGTGAGAATGCAGATACGGTGTCTGCCAGACAACGGATGAATAAAACACTTACAGGAATTAGTGACTGATGGTGAGTGGAAGAAGGACGAAATGGGAAAGGAGAATCTAAGCTGACATGCATATTACAGTAGAATGAGGGACGTAACAAAAGTGGCCACAGTGCCTGACATTTCACTGAAGTCCAACACTAAGAAGGAGGAGACAGCCCAGGAAACGCAGAGTGCATGAGCATTGAAAAAGACAACAGGCCAGGGCAAATCAAACATCCCAAGGAGGCCACGTGAGGAAAGAAAGGCAAGGAGGAGAGACATAGATGTCAGAGTTAGGAACAACAACAAAGTTTCAGCTTTGGAAGCGAGATTGGCGAGAGGAGTCTGCGATGGACAAGAGAATTGTCTCTGTAGCCCCTGTAGTGCTTGGCCTAGCGCGTGGCACAGAATACACGGGCGATAAACGGTGAGCCTTGGCGAAACGAACATGCAAAGAAAGGCGTTGATCACGATCTGGATCTCTAGCAACTTAAGCGATGGTGGGCGGTGGCTCGGAGATCAACTGGGCACCCAGGCGGCCAATAGGAACCGAGGGCTCAGGCAGACCACGCCCTCGACCACGCCCCCGCCCGGATCCCGCCAAGATCCTGAGCCGCGCGTCGCTCAAAGGCCGCCAGAGGCGTGCGCAGCTGCCCAGTTCCCGGAAGTGCGCCCAAGGCGGCCCCACGACCCAAGGTGAGCTCGTGGGCTGGGCAGGCCCGGCTCCTTGCGTCTCGGGTCAGGCCTGGCGCCTCCCGCGCCCATTCGAGACTCGGCCGAAGCCCCAGGAGCGGCGGCGCGGCCTGCTGACGCGCGCACCCAAACGCCTGGGAGCGCGTTCGCGGGCGACGTCGCGAGTGCGGGGGAGGGGCGGCCCGGGCGATGCGCGGACTCGGTGCGTGAGGACGCCGGGGTCGCGGCCTTGCGTGGCTGCGCCAGTGGGCGGGGCCGGGTGCCCGCCGCGGAGCTGGGCGCTCTCTGTGTACGATAGCTTCCGGGAAGATCTGGAAGAGAGGAGGTTTCGGAGGGCACGCTGTTGGGGGTCTCCCTCCAGCCCGGGTGCTGGCGACTTGACGGGGCCCAGGGTGGAGACAGCTTCACTGGTTAGCCCTGCCCTGGCCTGGGGCGCTAATGCAGGTTTTCACCCCAGCCATTTGCTACGGCCCCCAATTTCTTTCCCCTAGATTACCGGACGTTGGCGGCTCTCCTCTCAGAAGCGCAGACTTCAGAGCTTCCGTGGGCTGGCACCTGGCTGCCACTTTGAGCCTCAGAGGTTCCTAATCTGTAAATGCTAATGGCAATTAGGTGTGACGTGGTCAGACCCCAGTAGTGAGCTGATTGCATAGCAGATGCCCAGCAGGTGCTACTTGTATGTGTACCTATCTAGTGCACATTTAAACACTCATTCTAATAGGCTTTAATAAATATAACAAGTGTGCATTTTGGTAACCAAGGTTTTTGGTAACACACGGGACCAGATCCTCATGAAGTGGAGGAATAAACCCATTAACCCTTTTAAAGTAATTTAATTTTGAATAATAAAGACATTTTTCTTACAGTCATGGTGTATAGTTACTAACAGTTTTGAATGTTATGTAAGATCTAGAGTTTTCCTTAATATCATTTTTCCCAGATGTCACTCAAACTATCTTAATACAGCACCCCGCTAAATTTGCGTAAAATTGAGTAGAAGAATAATGTACTATTTGAAGTCTTTCTGGTTTTTTGTTTGTTTTTGTGTTGGTACCAGGGATCGAACTCAAGACCTTGCGTTTGCCAGGCAGGCGCTTATGCCACTGAACTAAGTCTGTGGCCCAGTGTTTCTTATTTCTACCTTCTGTTAATCTGCTATTTGCCATTCAAAAGTGAGGAGCCAGATTAATTTTAGTGAAGGCTTGTGGTCAAATATTTGTTTTTTAAAAAGATTCTTTTGAATCGTAGGTCTTGGAGGTGGGAATGTGGTCCTGTGGTAGAGTGCTTGTCTAGCCTGTGAGAGGCCCAGGGTTCATCCCCAGTACCTCACGCAAAAACACCTACCAATCTCCCTCTAAGAAATGCTTCTTCAGTTTAATCTGTTTTCATTACTATTCAATATGAAAATATATTTTAACTTTGATTCTGATATCTTTTTTGGCCACGGGTTATTGAATAATTTCTGTAACTTGATATTCTTCATATACCACATTGATACTGATTTGTAATTTAATTGCTCTGTGGATAGAGAGACATAAGATTCCAATCTTTTGAAAATTTCGCATATACTTTGGAGGAGTGTTTTTTAGGTAATTGTAATGAGCATATAGTCTGCAGTTGTCGGAGATAATGGCTTCTAAATGTCTAAACAAGTTGGTTTATGGTAGTGTTCAGATCTGTTGTATCTCTTTTTCTTTTGTATACTTACTCTGCCCATTAGAGAAAAATGCTGAAATCACCAGCTATAAAAATTTGGCCTTTAGAATCACACATATTTAGGCTTATGTGTTGTAGATCATTTGCCCCTTTTTTTCTAATGAATGTCCTTTTTTCTCTTTGAACTGACATTACTTTGTCAGCATTAGCCACAATAATTATGATTATTTAATGGACTTATTTCTTGTAATAAAATGACCCTCTTTGTTTTTGTTTTCAAACGGAAGTGTCTGCTTGGTCAGATACTAAAATTGCTATATCAGTTTTACTGTGTGCAGAGAGCATATTTTTTCCATCCTTTTAATTTTTAAACTGTGTCTTTGTATTTCAGATGTCTTATGTAGACAGCATATTGTTAATTGAATCTACATTTAAAATCAGACAAATTTGCCTTGTAACTGGAGTGCTTAGTCCATTTACACTTCATATAGTTCTTAATGTGGCTGGGTTGTAGCATGTCATATGAGTTTGTCTTCTCTCAAAGTTACATGTTTTTATTTGGGTTGTGTAGTTGCTTTCAGCAGGTATCCTGATCTGTATTGCTCATTACTCTGCCACTGCTGGAAACAGAATTTTCCACACACGTATTTGAGCACTTTGTGTGTGTTATTCTTGTACAACTGGATGCTGCATAAATATGGGAAGGAATATTTGAGTGAAAAAATTTAATGAGTCCTACACAAGAAACATACGCTATGATCCTTTCACCACACTCTTTTTTTTTTAATTCCCTTAAAAAATTTACCTGTTTTATCATCCTGTTTGACTTTTAAATACTTTTATGATGTAGGATGGATTATTTGGGTAAAATAGTAGATGTGAGGAAAATGCTTCTTATACCTCAATAGAAATGTGTCAAACAATAAAGCTAAAATGTTAGCCAAGAATCGTGATTGTATGCCTGTATTCCCAGCATTCTGGGAGGCTGAGGCAGAAAGATTGTGAGTTTGAGCCCAGGTTACAGCTTAGTGAAATCTTGTCTTAAAAAAAAAAAAAAATAGCTCTGTGCAAAGACTGAGTTTATCACCAGTATAACAGACAGACCAAGAGTGAAAAAGTGATACTATTACTCCGTAGTGCGTCACTGTGACAAAGAACTTGAGATAAACATCTTATAAGGAGGGAAAGTTTGTTTTTGCTCATGGTTTTCTAAGCTTCATTCCATGGGTGCTGGTCTCTTGGTTCTGTTTTTTTGGGCCTGGGGCAGCACAGTGCATTATGGGAAGAACATGTGGCAGAGGAGACCTGTTTAAGTATTATGGGGACATCTGATCTTTTCAATATCAGCTTACATTCCTGGAGTACCGATTTCTTTGTTTTGCTATGTTTTTAAAATTAAGAACATAAAGAAATTTGCAGAAGAGCTACTTTTCTAGAAACCTAAGTGAAAATGCTTATCTCATCCTTGTACATGGACTGGGCATTTGAAGACCAAAGGAGAACATGGTAAAATGGGGAGGGTGATGGTGGCTGTTTAGATATGGCATCAGCAGTTGGCTTTGCAGCTTCAAGTTTATAATCTTTCAAAATAGAATAATGTATAGAATGAGTAGTTTCAAAAGACCCGTAGTTGACTGCAGGTTATGTAGGTAGAGGATAGGCATTGTTCTTCCTGAACAGCACCTAACAGCACCTAATCTCTTTCTTTCTGTTCTCCTCTAACAGCACCTAATCTCTTTCTTTCCTTCGAGTCCTTGTGAAGACTTGGTTGTCTCCACCCCAGAAGCACCTACAAGGACTTGTGAAGCCAGACGATGCCCATTGACCTGGGGCAGGCCCTAAGCCTGCTGCCCTCCTTGGCCAAGAATGAGGTCTCCACCTTCTGTGGATCAGATGCTGCCCCTCAAGAGGAGCTTTCCAGCCCCGAGACTGCACGCCAGCTTTTCAGGCAGTTTCGTTATCAGGTGATGTCTGGGCCCCACGAGACTCTGAGACAACTTCGAAAACTCTGTTTTCAATGGCTGCAGCCAGAGGTTCACACCAAGGAGCAGATCCTAGAGATCCTCATGTTGGAGCAGTTTCTGACCATCCTTCCAGGGGAGATCCAGATGTGGGTGCGGAAGCAGCATCCAGGAAGTGGAGAAGAGGCAGTGACCCTTGTGGAGAGCTTACAGGGAGACCCTCGGAGACTGTGGGAGTGGGTAAGCAGAGGCATTGCCGTCTGTGAGAAAGCACAGGGTCCTCTGGGGCGCATCATGTGTGGTGTGTTTTTTTTCTGGTACTACTCCTGACATCAGTAGTCAACTCTGATTCTGTGATAGCCACTAAGTGTCGAGCAGGTCAGTTCAATTCTGACACTCTTTGCATTCGGCACAGACTGCACAGGTGCAGGCACAGTACTGTAGCACTGCTCCTGCACGCTAGATGCCCGCGGCAAGGTCCACGGGCCACCTGTCTGCCTGACAAACTGGCTGTCAATTGGGGGTCTTCCCCGCTTCAGATTTGATAATTAGAACATCTTGCAGAACTGTAGAAAGTACTTTATTTGCTGTTACCACCTTGTCATGAAAGATGCACCTCTCTAGCAGTCCATGGAGGAGATACAGAGTTCTGTTTCCTCTCCCAGTGTGCTACCTTCTTAGTATTTCAGTGAAGGTTCACCCACCTGGGAGCTCCCTGCAGGGCTTCTAATGGGCGCCACTGTTTTGGCACAGTTGATTAAATCATTTGTCACTGCTGATTGAAAGTCTCCAGCCCTCTTTGCTCAGAGGTTAGGAGTTCGGGCTGAAATTTCAGCTTTTCAATCACGTTGTTGGCTCTTCTGGCAGCCTGGATGCAGGGCTGCATCTTGAAGCCGTCTAGGGACTCGGCAAGAGCTACCGACCTGTTTATGTTTATTGCAAATTCAGTGTGAAGGAGTGAAAAGCCTTCATTACTAATAACAAAAGACTTCCGTTTTTAAAAACAGAAAATTACAAGGTTTCCATGAGCTCTGCACCGAGCAACCAAAGATAAAGACCAACGACATGTTTCTTATACCATATCTGCATTTCCTTCTACCTCACTTAATTCTAAAACTAACTCTCTATACTTTTTAACCGTTGGAGACTTAAAGTCTCTCATTCCATTTCGTCTTTAGAACATGTACATTGTTCAAAAGTTGTCTGAGTTTTAATCGATGGAGGCTGTCTAGGACAAACTTAATATTAGTGCATTTTTAAAGGCCTCCGGGGCCTGCCTCAAACCTCATTTTTGGGATGTTTTCACTTTCAGGAGTTCCTGGGAGAGCTGGCTTGCCTTTTCTCTGTCCTGCATGTCCTTAAAGACTGTGTTATCTTCTGTTACCAAAGATTAGCTCTTTATCTTCCAGAAATCCTGAGTCTGCTTCCTCCCGTAATTGGTACTCTCTGCTATCTAGATCAGTATCCAAGTTCTAGGACAGGAGATCTTATCAGAGAAGAACGAATCTCCAAGCTCCCCCGTGGGTGAAGGGGAGCCCCATCCGGAAGGGGCACCCCTGGAGGTGGACCTGCAGCATTCTCCTTCCAGGTCTCCGGAGTTGCTGAGCCACATTGTCAAAGAGGAATCTGACACGGAACCAGAACTAGGTGAGGGGGAGTTAGTCCCTGGTGTGCAGAGCTCTTGTGGGGAACTTCAGGGATTGCAATTAGCAGGCCCGAGCTAGAATAACACGGTATTCTTGGAAAGTTTGGAACTGGGGCAGATCTGCGTGAACTATCTGACTTGACGGTTCAGAGTGTGTATGTTAAACTACATTGTGATTGAGCCGGACCACTGGGTTTTAGTTGTGAGGAGGGAGGTGGGAGAAAATGTGAGTGTGACTTTTTGGAAGTTTGGCTGGCGTTTATCAGGAGGTAAGCAGAAGTGTTGAAAATTGGTAGCAGAACACATGTCTGTGGTTTTTATCTGAATCATCTGGGGGGTGGTTAAAGAAGATAATCTAGATTCTGAAATTCTTTTATCACTCCAGCTCCGGCTGCATCCCAGATTGCTGCCCAGCATGAGGAGAGGGGCATCAGAGATCAGGGCCTGGGAGCCGCCCTTCTCTCTGTAACTCCCCAGGTGAGCTGGGCTCCTCTGCTCCTCTTTACCCAAGCCAGCCTTGAGAGGGTATCGGGTCAGCAGGGCTGCCAGGGCCGCAGTCCCGAAGAGGGCAGGAGGGAGCGCTGACCTTGGCAGGGGACAGCACCTGTGGAATGAGTCCCGGATTCAGGATTTCTCTCACATCAGAATTTTTCCTAAACATCTTGAAAAAGGAATCTGGCCTCTCGAAAAAGGTACAAGTTGCTAGGAAATCTGGCCTTTACCCCAGTATAGCCGTCTCTTCTATTATTTTTGTGTTTCCTTAAAAGATACCAAGAACTATTTTGTTTTCTTGTATATGACACCTATTAGGGCTACTGAGTGACTGTTGATGAGTAGCATAATATAGTGTGAATAAGCTGGACAAAGACATGGTTCATATCCTGTGAGAGATTTTATTGTGCTACTCAGAACAGTGTGCACTTTAAAAGTTAGGCATTGTTTATTTCTGAAAAGGTTTATTAAATATGTTCAGTCTATAGTTGCCTCTAGGTACTGTGGGGTAGAGACGCGTATATTGCCCGAGAAGCCTTTGATCCAAGGCTAATTTTGTTCTCACTAGCGAGCAGCACGCTGACTGTTCTGCCCAGTGCCTCTCCATGTGCCCAGTTTTCTGCTCCAGCTGATGAAATATGAGTAGTGTCTAGCAGCTTTGAGGGGCCCCTCTGAAAGTCTCTGAGGCTCTCTTTGTGCAGCTCCTTCCTCTGCTTTTCTGTCCTGCTAACTCCAGCCACTGTGGGCTCCCAAGATCACAACCCTCTGCTCACTTCCAGCGGACACCTGGTTTGGAAGGGGTTTTGCCTTCCTGTGCTGTCTGGATCTTCTCTCTGGGGATCCATTCAGCTAGATGAAGGACGCAGTCTCCTCCCTTTCAGGACTTTTTGTCCTGTGTTGCGCAGTGGGCAATGTCTGAAAACCATTGTTTTGTGTATTTTGTGTCCCTTTCTTTTGGTTTCTGGCAGAAAGATAATTGTAGTTGCTGTTATTCTATTTTGGCAGTACACCAAAGTCTCTGGAACAGGTTTATATTGATGATGTGTATAGTTAAAACTCAGGAAAATTACATTTGATTAAACATTCTTTGGGAATACACATATATATCTTGATCGGTACCGATAAAAAAGAAAAACACACACACACAAAAAAAAACCTTGAAGGAACTCTTCTTGGGACTTTTCTTGGGAGATAGTATAGTGAAGCAGAAGATCAGGAAGGTGGTGGTAGTGCTTAATGTCATGTTCAGACCGGGATCTGAGCATCAGCTTCCAGGGTTCAGAGGTTTAGAAGGTAGCAGGCCATGTGTCCTTAAACACGCATGAGACCCCTGTTCAACCTTCAGTACCAACAAGTAAAATTTTTAAAGAAAGAGGAAAAAGATTTGTGTATTGAAATATTTCCACTAGCCCTAGGGAATTCGGTTGCCTAGGTAGTATGTACAGGACGTTCCTCTGACAGGCATGTGTGGTTTATTAGTGTTTTCATAACCAGGAGGGTACTAAGGCATTAGCTGTTTCCTAGTTTAGGTAACCTAAATGATCAAAGTACTCAACAGCAGCAATTACTTATTGACAGCTGTGTATACATGTACCCAAATCCGCATTTAGCTTGTGGTTGATTCCTCAAGCGGAGGTTGTTCCTGCCCGTTTCCCAGGCCCTCCAACCACAGTTATTTGCCTCAGAAAACTTAATATTTAATAACTCCTTTGAAAGGGAAGTGATTTTTAAACAGAACTGATCACTGTCTGAGCTTTTCTGTGAAACAGGAACTTCATGAGTAAGGTAGACAGGGTGCTGTGGGATCATTCCCACCGCACAGGAGTCAGTTCATTGTCACAAGCCATGGCTGCTCTCACGTGACCTGGAGGGATGCATGCATTCACTCCATTTTTGTGTTTTCAAACAGAAGAAAGGCGCACAGTACAGATAACTCCCTGTGCAAGCCAGCTGTGGTAATATCTCGTAAATCCACAAGATGGTGTTCTTTGCACACAAAACTGCGGTTTCCACATCAAGCCCCACCCTTTCGTCCTGCAGAATAGGAAGTTAGGATTTTTACTTCTCTGTAACTATGGAAATGCAGCCAGATGGCTGTTGCATCCCAAGAGGGGATTTTATTTGGACGTCTCCAGCTTCGTGGCAGCTCTTTGGGTAAATATGTGACTTTAAGTTGGACATACACTGTTCAGAGACTCCTGTAGCCATTTCTGATTTTGGGGTACACTGACGTGGCTTGTGCGGGTGTCAGGGCTTATCCCTTCTTTCGTCTTGTCCTGTCTTGTCCTGACTGTGCTGGTGCCTGTAGAGTGGCTTTGTGTTCAGCAAGCCAGGTGTCCAGTCAGCTTGTTCTGTGCCTGGCTTTCACTGCCTTTTGTCTGCTCCCACCAAGGCGACAGTCTGTGTGTTCTTAGCGTGGAGCCTGAGGGCGCTTTTATTCAGCAGTATGTGCGCATGCTGGTTATTTGCAGGGCTGTTAACAGAGCCTCATTCACAGAGCACAACGAGCTGTTAGCAGTTCATATTTAAAGACTTAAATGGTAGATTGAAATTCATCTTAAAATGTAGTTCTAGTTCATAGTTGATACATATTTAAGTATCTCGTCTGTCTTTGACTTAGCATTTGCTAATCCAAGAATTTTTTATTTTGTGAAAAAATAGAATTTCATAACAAAATAATGAGAGTAACAATGGTTAATGCACTGGGTATTGTAATCTTAAAAAGTCTTTACTTAGAGTGCAGAACAGACAAAAAAAAAGACAAGAAACAAGCTTTATTTTCAGTGAATTAAGAAATACATCATTTGGGAAATTATTTGAACTTTTCCCTACTTCCTAATTATCTATCTACTGTTTTGGTCTTTATTTGTATACATAGCTGTGGTTCCTAATGTAAGAAAAGCCTGTGATATTTAAGCATGTGGATCTGATGTATTTCACTTAACATTTTTTTCAAGTTGCATCCATGTGCCTGCAAATGCCTCAAGTTTATCTTTATAGCACAGTAGTGCTCCAGTGTATCTAGATACACATTTTCCCTACCCATAAATACGGTTTAGAGCATAGATGCTATTATAAGTTGTGCCTTTATAAACGTGGGTATACATGTATCCTTGTAATATGATGATTTTAACTCGTTTGGAAAAAACCTAGAAGGGGGACAGCTGGACCAAATGGAATTTCTCTTCTTAGTTTTTTTTTTGAGTAGTCTCCACACTGATTTCCATGGTGGTTCTGCTAGTTTACCTTCCCAGCAACCATGCAGAAGAGTTCCTTTGTCCTCACATCCTTGCCAGCATCCGTTATTACTAGATTTTTTAATGATAGACATTCTTTCTGGGGCAAGACGGTATCTCAGGTGTAGTTTTGTGTTTCTGAGATGGCTAGAGAGGATGATAACTTTTTCATGCCTTGTTTTGGCCATTTGTACTTACTGTGAGAAGCGTCTACTCATTTTACTTGCCTTCTGTTTGATGGGGTCTTTATTTTGGAGAGTCTTTGTAGAGTTCTGGAAATACATTCTAGATGTTTGTCTCCTGTCTGAGGAGTAGCTGGCAAAGTTTCTTTTCCCCATTCTGTGGATTGTCTTTTCATTGTGCTGGTTGTTTCTTTTGCTGTGCAGAAGATTTTTAATTCAATATGATCCTGTTTGTTGATTCTCAGTATTCTTTCTTGGGCCATTTGGGTTCTGTTCAGAAAAGTCCTTTCCTATACTTGTGTCAAGCCATTTTTGTGCCCCTCTGAGCCATTTTCACCTCTCTTTGTTGTGCTAGACACGATTTAGAGCTAAGAATGCCATCTCTGAGTAGTGTATTGCAATATGACTTCATAATTACTCTCTTCATTCCTGCTGTCTGTAGCCTGGCTATTTGTGACGTGGCCTGTGATACCAGCTTGGGGGTGGGGCGTGTCTCTGCAAGTCCTTAGAGCCCTCTGGCTCTCCCTGTAAGCGCCAGGGTGAGTCTAGGGTATGATAGTAATACTAATAGTCATCCACTAAGGATTTTATTTTACCCATGTAATACATATTGAGGGCCTGCTGTGTCACAGGGAGGGTCTCGGGGACTAGGAAGATATTATACTGAGCAGGACAGGGTCCTTTTTTGCATTCAACGCTAGTAAAGCAACTGTTAATCAAATACTTATGTGTATGTCAGTACACATCTCCAGCACACATATTAGGTAAACTGATGAATGCTAAGAATAAACAGATACAGTGCTTTGAAAACAGATGACACTGCCTTATTGCTGTCAGACCTCCCCACACTGTTTTCTAGGTCAGTCCTATTATTAGAGGTGAATCAGAACTCTGTAAGATTCAGATGTGTTATGTACATGTACCAACTCCCCACAAGAAACACATCCATTGTGTACTTCAAACATGTGCCAGTAAAAGTAAATATTAATAGGGATGCTTGCTCATGGTAACAGTTTGGAAGTGGCAAGCCTGGGGCTTGGAACCCAGCATGTCTGGCCGGAGAAGGCGCTGCTGCTGGTCCCAGTGACTGCGTGCAGCCCTGGCGACAGCACACGTGTGAAGGCCACGTCCGCCTTTGCTCCTGACTCTCAAGGTTGTTTCAGAGTAAGGCTTTCAATGCATTTGACATCACTGATGATTTCGCCTGCCTTTTGGGCTGATTTTTGCCTCCTTTTCTAGAGGATCCCTTTTGCATTTTCTCAGAGAATTTGCAAACATTTATTTATTTTTGACTTTTTTCGTACATGTTTGCAGTACATGATGATCACATGCACTGCAGGTGTTGGTTCAGATTTTAATGAAATACTGGGAAATCAGGCTTCTTTTGACCCGTGCTCCATGCACTTGAAAGTTAAGAAAGGAACAGTACAGAGAAGGCTGCTGCTTGTGTGTGTGCTCCTCTTAAATAGATGCAATTGAAAGGCGGAACTCAAACCCTAAGTGTTTTCTATTAGGGCAAGCAATACTGCTGTAAAGGACTGTCGCTGTCTCCTTGGTCTCTGTTCCTTAACTGCTCTCTCATGAGTTCCTAAACCTTCTGGTGCCAGGACCCTACAGCACATTCCACTCTCCTCAGCTTTCTTGAGAGTAGGGAGGGCAGACTTGGACACCTTCCTTGGAGTGACAGTACCGTGACTTTCGTAGGAGCAGTGGCGACACCTGGATTCCACTCAGAAGGAGCAATACTGGGATCTCATGCTGGAGACTTACGGCAAAATGGTCTCACGAGGTAAGGGCGTGGGTCCCCGTGACAGTAGGAGGTGGACAGAGTAGAAAACTGTGAGGCGTTGCCTGTGCACTTGCAGAGAATTACGCTCAATTTCAGGTTGCACGGGTGAAGGAAATTAGACACATAGTTAGGAACTAAGGTGAGTTAGAGCAGTTACAGTAAGAATCTTTTGATAGTTAAAGTATTCTGTGTGCCATGAATGGGTGATACACAATATGTCCCTTTTAAAGATCACGAAGGTAAATGACAATCTAGTGCTTGCCCGTGTTATATAGCTTGTGGGCGCTAAGTTAAGGTGGAATTTGTGACTGGCTCTGAGGCCATAATCTGCCCTCCTAAATCACTACCTAATTCCTCAAGATACCCACTGCAGGGCTTTCTGTAATAATCCCTGCACCACCCTGACAGGGGTCTACAGTCCTCCTGGCCTGCTGTCCAGACTCTTGTCTTCACCGTAATCCTAGTCATTTTGGAGGTACCCTGGGCTGTTACCAGAATGTCTCTCTAAGTGTGCTTTATGTTTCCCTTCGTACCTGGTGTGTTCCTTTGAAAGACAGAGGTAGACCTCCCAGCCTTCCCTGCTTATCCAAGCCCACACACCTCTCTGTTTCTTTGTAGCAGGAATTTCAAACTCTAAACCCAGCCTGACTAACTCAGCAGAGTACGGGGAAGAGCCGGCAGGGCTGCACCTTCATGTCAGTGAGAAGATCCCAAGACTCAGTTGTGTAGGTGAGTGAGTGTTCACCGGTCTAGAGCCATGTCTGACCTCCTGTTAAACTGGAAATGCAGGAGCGGGTATTAGGAACTTGGTTTATATTACATTGGCGATAATGAGATAGGCTGGCTGTAGGGCTGGTGATACATACATTTACCCAAGAAGGTAAGAGAGAATTTTTGTCTCAGAGAGAATCAAAATTCATGCAGATTTACTAAGTTTTTGTTGGATCATTGAATACAACTATTTGCAGTCACACTGTTTGAATGACCACTTTGTATGCTTTAATCCTGTAACTCGAACAACTATTTCTAAGATGACAATATGTAATCTATTAACTAGTGATTTCTTACTGTTTTTTTTTTTTTTTGAAATTCTGTATTAGTTGTACCTTTTTACTGTTTTGGGTTTTTTTTTCTCCTTTAAATAAAATTTTTAAAAAATTCATGCAGCTTGATACTAATACAGGTAAATGTAGTATCCCATCACATGCAAGATTATGGAACAAGCATTGTTACCATTTCTACCAAGAAGGTTCAGAGTAGCTTGACTTTTCTTATTCTGGCTATGGTGAGCATCCACTCTCAGCAAATTGAGATAAACAGAAAAACATGTCTTATTTAATCTCTACCCGGCTAACATTAAATAGCAGCCTCAGCTAATACTTTTATAAATTATATGTAAGACTAGAGAAGAGGAGATCTGAACTTATAAATTACAGTCACTCTTTGCTTTCTATAATCTTTCTAAAACATGGCAATTATGTAAAACTTAACTGTCGTACACACACACACACACACACACACACACACTCTGACTCTTGCATATATGCAGTAAATCCCAGAGCCTTCAAGGAAGAAAAGGCCTAATGATAGGAATCGTGTGACAAATCATCCTTGTTTCCCAGTGGATTCTAATTAATTATTTTCCTTAACTGGTATCCCGCACTGAGACATCATGTGATTTTAATTTTCTTTTCATTGTGCTGGGTATTTAACCCAGGGCCTTGGGTATGCTAAACATGCATTGTCTCTGAGCTATAGCCATGCTTCTCATTTTGAGTAGTATTTTTACTGTTACAGTATTTCATAGGGATTCCTTTGGAGCAGTAGTTTTAAACTGTTCTTTATGGCCAATTAATAAGATTTGCAGGAGGGGATATACTTTATTTTTTAGTACAGCTTTAGGTTCATAATCAGCTTGAGTAGGTGGTTCAGTGATAGTATTTGTGATACATTGTGTCCCCACCCACTTTGGTTTGTTTGTTTGCTTTTTCCTTTATCCTACTTGTTGACTTGGCCCCATCAGAGCCTACCTTGAACCAGACCATGGGGAGTCTACAAGGCCAGGCTGCCTGGATAGCAGAAGAGATACATGTCAGCTCGTTGTGAGAAAGATTGTGTGGAAAGAAGCTTGGGGGAGTAATTTGGTAGCCATCTGTGGGGCACATAGACGGGAACAGTTGGAGGGGAGAACCCTGTGAGGAGCTGATGCACAAGCCCGGGGGTCCCGCGGTGAGGCCCAGGACTGCTGTGGACATCACAGGAACGAGACAGGAAAGGACTGGTCTGGAAAGTACACCAGTTAACTTTGGGTGAAAGGTTGTACTCACACCAGGGCAAAGCCAAGAGAGAGCGGTTGTGCCGTTTTGTTTGAATATGTAGAACAGCACATGGTCAGGGCCCATTAGGGATCAGCCGCAGACGCCATAGACTCACACTTGTTAACAAAAGCTTGAGCAATTAAAAAAGTCACTTAGCAAAAAAATACAAGTCTTAAATGCCTAACTTGGAAGAATGCAACAGACAATAGTTAAAAAAAGTCTTAGAAGAATGTTTCACGCATGTCAGGTCTTTGAATATTAAGCCTGTTGTATACATAGGGTAAACCATTGAAATAGCATAGTGACATAAAAATCAATGTATGCATCAGTGAAACAAAAAGCAGACCAGGAAGAGATACTGGGTGATGTGACAACATGTGAGGAAGGGAGGAGCAACAGAAACCCGTGGGGTGTGTGTGGGGGACACTCCCAGTGTTCTGGGAGGCTGAGGCGGGAGGAACACAAGTACAGGTCTTGCTGAGGAGCTGAGGAATTCAGTGACTTAGCAAGACCCTGTCTCAAAATAGAAGATGAAGGAGGGTTGGGGTTGTAGTTTGGTGTGAAAGTCCGGGATTCAGTCCCCAGCCCCCCAGCCACACACACACACACACACACACACACACACACACACACAATCCCTAACTGCTTCTGTGATAAAAGTAACTCCAGACAAACTAAGGGTGACTAAGTTGGTGAAAACATTTTTCATAAACATGACAGATATATGATATTCTACATCATTTTTCTCAATATAGAAAAAGTTACAGCAATTTGATAAGAAAACATGACATTCTGAGCAGTCTTGGAGTGTGAAAAAGTAGCTCATAAAATGAAAGAAAAAAATTCATCCTTTGATAACTAAGAATTAAAATTTAAGATAAAACTCATTTTTCACCAGTCTGAGTGGCATATGAAAAAACTCAATGCTAAAGTATTTACTCACCTCTCCCTCTGCCCTCTGTCATATCCCGGAGTGTGTGTCGGAGTGATTCTGGAAACTGGGTGGCTAGAAGATGTCAAAGCATTGATATTCGTGCATGTTGGCACTGCTTTGAGGAGCTTTTAAGTTATAGATCAGAAATGTAGGCAGAAACTTATGAAGAAAAATGATGACAATGTTATTTATAGTAGCAAACCAACAATAAACAGCAGATTTCCACAGTAGAAGAGTTCGTAAATACATTCTGACACCTTCGTGATGGGCCGTTACTCAGCTCTTGAAAAAGCTATTTATAAGGCTTCTTTAAGGACAAGATACAGTGCCTTTGCCATTTAAGTGGAACATGTTTTAACATTTTGAGAATTAACAAGTTCAGTTCTAATTCTCTGGCAGATGCCTACATCTCTGGTAGATAACTAGAAAGACGTGAGTCTATGAAAGAAAAGTGTATAGCCTATTTAGATCAGTGGGAATAATTTGTAAAAGCTCAAAATAAATCCTGCACTGAAATTAAAATCCTTGTCATACATTAGTAAAATTAAAAAAGCCAAATTAAGAGAGTAGCTGTAACTGGTTATTGAGTCAATAAACCACATGTACAGTGGGCCCCCATCTGTAGTTGTAGGTACTTGGGAGGCTGAGGTGGGGGTTAACTTGAGCCTAGGCATTGTAGGATACTGGCTCATCAGTCAGCCAATCAATGGCTCGATCCCATGCAAATCACTGGATTCAGATATAAACCAGAGATTTACTTTTACAGCCTAACTCTGGTGCATTATACCCATAGAAAATGACACATTAATGAATTTCATGAACTTTGTGTTACTCCTAAATGAAAGAATCCATGTTAAGTTGATCAGCACCACTGTTTACAATTTACCTGTTACACAGCTGGATTCAGAGCTGTATGTACAGTATCAAAAGTAGCATATCCACTTATGCAAATAGATTAAATAAGTATAAGGAAGTGTATGTTCTGTTACCTTAGAACAATTGAGGCTGATTTTGTGTTCTTGGGTACATTTTTTCTCCTTCCAAACGTTTTTAGTATTTACCTTTTCCATAATTAGATACAAACTAAACATTTAAAAAATACCTTTTGCATATAATATACTTAATTACTGTGGCCCTTAGAACTATGCATGCTGCTTATTTATGCACGAGTCAGAAAAACCCCTTTTGCCTCATGTGCTGTTCTGAGCTTCTGCTATTCAGCCTTGGACCCAGAACAGGTGCAGCAAGTCTGGGTTGTACAGAATGTTCTTCCTCATTTGCTGCTGCCCTCGTGGTAAAAATAATATTTTCTTATGACCCCTTCTGTGATATATGAGTTAGAAAGTAGGGCATGATACTCACTGAACCACTTTAAACCTCCTTTCTCTTTTTAGGAGATAGACAGGAGAACGACAAAGAGAACCTAAATGTGGAAAACCACAGGGACCAGGAACCTCTGGACGCTTCCTGTCAGGTCCCAGGTGAGGCTCCCGCCCAGGCATCTCTGAGGGGCTTCTTCACGGAGGATGGGCCGGGGTGCTTTGGAGGAGGAGTGAATCTGCCCGAGACTCTGGAAACCCCGCGTGGGGAAGGGGCAGCAGGACGGCTGTCTGCTCACGAGAGGAGTTCTGGGAAGCAGCCGGGGCCGTGTGTGCCTAGTGCCCCTCCTGGAGAGCTGTCTGCCGTGTGGCTGGAGGAGAAGAGAGAGGCTTCTCAGAAGGGACAGCCGCGAGCCCCGATGGCCCAGAAGTTCCCCACCTGCAGGGAGTGCGGGAAAACCTTCTACAGGGTCTCACAACTCGTCTTTCACCAAAGAACTCACACCGGAGAGACGTACTTCCAGTGCTCCATCTGCAAGAAGGCCTTTCTGCGGAGTTCGGACTTCGTGAAGCATCAGAGAACTCACACGGGAGAGAAGCCCTGTAAGTGTGATTACTGCGGGAAAGGCTTCAGCGACTTCTCAGGATTGCGCCACCACGAGAAAATCCACACCGGAGAGAAACCCTACAAATGTCCCACCTGCGAGAAAAGCTTTATTCAGAGGTCGAACTTCAACAGACATCAGCGGGTCCACACGGGAGAGAAACCCTATAAGTGTTCTCACTGTGGCAAGAGTTTCAGCTGGAGCTCGAGCCTTGACAAACACCAGAAGTCTCACTTAGGCAAGAAGCCCCTCCAGTAGCCACCCTCTCCCAGCTGTTTCCTGTCTCTCCGTGCATTCAGAAATGCTCGGCTCTACCCGGACAGTACATTCCTAAGAGGAAATTCTGTTCTGGGTTTTCATGATGTGGAGGGAAGAGCACCTGGGCCCACGTTTGAACTTGGAAGCTCCATCAGCCTCTGGATTGGATTCGATAATGGCCTAGTTTCTTGCTTCTGTATCAGAAGAAAGAATAGTCTTTATGTTTCAGCCCATGCCTTCTTTTGGACTCACTGGGGGAAAAGTCACTGAGAGATAGTTTTAGAGGTGCCTTCTGGGAGAGCGTGGCTGGAGTGCCTGCAGTCAGTGCTCAAGGAGGAGCCTTAGACCGGCCCTTTGGCCTGGGCTTCTAGGTAGGCCTGCAGTGACAAAAGAGGAGGCGGAGAGGCCCCGCGAGCCCACGTGTGTTCCTCCTCACACAGGTGAACCAGTAACTCCGAGCGTCCCTTGTCTGAAATAAATGTACTGCATTCACTCCTTGTCTGTTTGTGTTTACAGTGTTTGCTCCAAGGCCGTTGTCTCATAAAAGACAATGAGTGGTCGCTGAATTCCAAGATCAGCCCATGTAAACCTGCCGAGTCTGTGATGCTGAGGTTGTGGGTGTGTGACCAGCAGTGGGCACGCTCTATCTCGGGTGCTGTGTCTTTGCTTATTCTTTCCTGAGCCTTTCTGCCACTTGATCACATGCCTTACGGTTCCCTTCTTTCTCTTGGCGTCTTAGTTGGGCTGTCATTTTTGTTGAAGTGTTCTGTGCGTTTACATCCTTATGATCTCATATTGCTGGTAGGTGTTAGAAGAAATCAATGTATTGATCCTATTTTTAATACTGCCTAGAGGTTTATTAACATATATATCTAACCTGTCCAGTAGTTCCTGTCTTCAAAAGTTACATGCCTTAAAGCGTCCTGCTCATGTATGGGAAGAGTTCTGTCTTCAACCACTTGGTCTTCTTGCTTGGCGCTAACACAAGTTTCTGGAAGAGTTGGGAAGTGTGATACTAATGAGAAGGGCAAAAAGCAGACAAAGCCCCAGGCAGGAGAGTACAAGGTGTGGGCAGACAATCAAAAAGTGATGGGAGAGGGGGGACAAAACTCAAGGTGGAGTTCTTGGACTCAAGGAGGAGTTTGTTAATTTCCTTACAGCATAAAGAGGAGTAAAGCCCCACTTAAGGAGATTCAGGACCCTTGAGTAAGAAAACAGGAAACTCATGGGAGAACTAGTACTAGATTCTGTATTCTGCATCAGACACTTGCAGCGTGGTGGCATTTGGTGTTTTAAATTGGGTTCTCAGTGGGCGGCCCGTAGAGCAGCAGCAGTGGCTTTTGGTTAAACTTCCTGAATCACAAGCTCTGAAGGGTGGGACTGAGCAATATATTTTTTTAACAAAGCCTTCCAGGGACCCTTGATTCCTGCTCTGGTTTAAAAGCCACCTTTCTAAAATAGCGATTAATAATAGTTTTTAAAACTCCACCAGATTGTAAGAGAATAATCCAGAAAGAATACTAGGCCTTACTAGACTTTGCATGCTGTCATCACATAGAACTCTAAAAACTCAGCATTTATGGAGCCTCTTTGTTACTAGTGAACACAGATTCAGAGTAAAATATGGAAAACTTCTAGGTTACAAAGTGTTTGAGGAAGCATTTCTCCTTGGGTTCCTCTTCAGTGATTTTAGAATTGACAGACACACAGGCTGCTTACAGTTGGTATCCTCAGCAAATAGTAAGGGTAAAAATCTTATAGCATTTGATAGCAAGTAGATAAAAAGGCATTGAATAAATATATGAATGAATGAAAGTATTGTGTGTGTACTTCTTTAGCCTCGAAAGTAGGAATCAGCAAATAGAACCCATTATGTGTTTTAATGCATAAAGTTTATTGGAATATAGCCACATTTATGTATATACTATCTAGGCTGCTTTTGGGCTGCTAGGGTAGAGGAGATGAGTTAAAAGAGAGAATACAGCCTACAGAGCCTCAAATACTTGCAGAGAAATTTTGATGAACCCCCTTTTTTTTTTTTTAAATTTTATTTAAAAGGAAAAAGAAAAAACAAAACAAAACAAGTGTAAGGGTACAAGTAATACAGAACTACAAAAAAAAAAAAAAAAAAACAGTAAGAAATCACCAGTTAATAGATTACATATTATCATCTTAGAGATAGTTGCTCAAATCAGAGTATCAAAACATACAAAGTAGACACTCAGTGAGGCTGCAAACAGTTGTGTTCAATGATCCAACCAAAAACATTAATATGGTCAGCTATTTACACCCCTAAACACTCTTGCTGTTGTATCATTTAGAACTCTTTTTTTTCCCCTCCCTTTTTTACAACAAAATTTACACATTTTGGGTTTTATTATTCCTTAGTTCTTATTACTTTTTTTGGGGGGGATAAAGTCAAATATGGCAAAACAAAGCTGTCAGTCAAACCAAGGATAGACATAGCACATGATGTAAAACAGAGTACAAGGTTATCAACAATGGTTATCAACGATGTCTCTTGTTTCCTTAAAAAGAATTGTCTATCTCATTATATATTATAAAGTTGAACAAAACAGTAGAGAACAAGACCAATAAAACTTAAGCATTGTAAACATTACAGGACTTCCAAAGGAGACAATAGTCAAACCAGAATGGGCATCATATTGGGAATGGGCATCATATGGGAATCTTATTGCCTTCAAAGTAGTTGCCTATACCCTCAAACTTGATACTGTCATACAGAATGGAACAGAGTCTAATCAGTCAAAACAAGATCGTGGGAGTATTACAGGACTTCAAAACAAGTTAATAGGAAATCAAAAAAGTTACTATTATATACCCTGCTAATTTTTTTAATTTTTCCCCTTAATTAAAAAAACATAAAAAATAACTAAATAATTTTTTAATGAATAAGGCAGAGATTGAGATAAAACAGGGCATAACAATATAACAATACAGGTCAAAGCATGACTGTTTCAGCAACCTAGTGGATGAACCCCTTTTCTAACGTAGTACTTCCCAAAGTGTAATGTCCATGTAATTGTGTGTAAGTCACCGCGAAAGCTGGTTAAGGTTTTGATTCATGGGCAGAAGCAGTGCCACTTGGAACCTAGACCACTGAGGGTGTGCACAGTGCTCACGTGTTTGTGGCTTGTTTCTCTCAGCCCTTTCAAGATCACTGATGACTCAGCAAGTCTCAAAAGCTGGCCTGCACACAGTTGAATAGTGAATCACCTTCTTAGGAAAAGTTAGTACTATAAAGTTCTCTTCCAGTAATTCCTGGGCCCGCACTGTGGCTCACAGTTGTGGGCAGAGTTCTACAGAAGTTGAGTGCTCGTGATTTCTTCTGGCTGTGGTTACCGCTTCCTGTCTGTCTGCTGGGAATCTCCAGCTCAGCTTCCTTCCGAGTCTTCTCAGCGGCTCTTGGGGAAGTTAGATCTGAAGAAGCAAGGCTACGCCTGCTAGAACCCACTTGGAAGGGCTTTCCTTAGTCTTGAGGTTGAAAGTCCACACGTAGGTGGGCCCCCGCTGACGAGTCTTGTACACAGGGCAAGAATAGACGTTGTGGCAGTCCTGCTTGTTTGCAGGAATGGCCTTGATGAACATCACGGGCATGGGAGGAGTCAGCTCCTTCAGCTTGGCCTCCATGATGATCCCAGCCTGAGGACAAGAACATAAGAAGAGCCGGTTTAGAGCCGACCCACAGCCCAGCCCGCAGCCTCGCTCGGGTCAGATCTGTGGGACGAGAGACTGAAGTATCCCGACTGCCTTTGTGGCTTCCCTTGCAGTTCTAATAACCCAAGATGGAAGCCATCTCATACATACAGGACATTTGCTTTCCTTTTTAACCTAAGTCACTTCGTGTGTAGTTCCAAGATTTGTACTTAGCAGGTGCCCCTTTGGTACACGATTATCTGCTTGTTTTATATATTGACTTCTAGGAATAATAAATGCAACTATTAGGCAGATGTCAGGGGGAGGTAGTGGGGATCTAAAGCGATGAAGACATAGTTCTAATAGCAGAGGCTTTGGTTAGATCCCATTTCTGCCTCTTTTCAGTTTCATATGCTGTCTTACCCACCTCGGTAGCATTTTAATTTTTTTTTTTTTTTGTGGTGCTAAGGATTGAACCCAGGAGGGCTCTGCCCCTGAGCTATATCCTTATCCCTTTTTATTTTTCATTTAGAGACAGAATGTCACTAAGTTGCCCAAATGGATCACAGACTTGTGATCCTACTGCATCAACCCTGCTCAGTGCACGTACCCCACACCTGGCTCACAGCCTGTCTATAGTCATGCAATGAAGACCTGACCATTTTGCAGCTTTCCAGATGAGGCCTCCCTATGGTTTTCTGAGATAATAGAATCGCCTAGGGCCACTGTCTAGTTGACTACCATTTCCCACTGGTTCTGAGAAATGTTCTCAGGGATAAGAGTCCCTTGGTCAAATAAATGGTGCTTTCCATATTCTGGATTTTAAACTTCAGAGTATCTATTAGCACAGTGCACACGCAGACAAGTCTGAGCAGGAAACACTAAACTGTATTTAACCTGGTATTAGTTGACCACAGGACCTTTTTTCTTAGTAACCTGCTCATTTCATATAGTGTTAGCGTTACATGTAACATTGTTTGGGAAACACCAATTCAGAGTCCTTCACAAATGCAAGTCTTCTGTTAATGTGACTCCAAGCCCTATGGAACAGTTTGGTTTATTTTTCTTTCTTTGGTACTGGGGATCAAACTCATGACCTCACGCTTGCCAGGTTGAGCTAAATCCCTGGCCCACTTTGATTTATTTTTATAAAATTTATTTACAGGGAAGGATTTTCCTTTCTTTATGCATTTAGGGGCTGATAAAAGGCACAGTGAGTGACAGAACTGAGTAAGTTTGGATCCCCTTGTTCCCCCAAATTGTTCACAGTCCGGAGGAGTAGGGACAGGACTTTTTCACACACCATAAAGCCAACCATTTTAAAGAGTGTATTCAGTGGTTTTCAGTATGTTCATGAAGTTATGTAACCCTTACCACTGCTAATTCTGGATTATTTTCATCACTCCCAAAAGAAACTCTGTAGCCACTGACCTTCCCCAGGAGCATGGGGTGCTGATGCCTCCTGCTGGGGTTGAATTGTGTAGTGGCATTTTGTTTCCTGAATTTAATTCTTTCCATGATTGTGGTTATTAACTGAATCGGTCATGAACTGAGTCAAATTTCTCCATAAGGCTCAGTGTCACCCAGTGCGGAGTTTGAAAATGGGAGCAAAATTTTGCTGAACACTTCTGTTCAGTAACAGTTCACGAAGTGTTTGTGAACCAAGGTACCACTATACATTTGTTCCTTCAATTCTGTTTTTGTTTCACAAATTTTTTGAGTCTTTTGTTAAGTTCGTGTGTTTATATAAGCATCATCTTGATGCCTTGACCTTTTTTGTTGTTATAAAATGTCTTCTTTGTCTACAGAATGTCTCTTCTAACTTTTCTCCGGAA